GCAGTGACACAGTCGTGGCTCACTACATTTCCACCTCCTGGGGTCAAGCCATCCTCCCACCTCAGCCTCCCAAGTAGCTGAGACTACAGGCACACACCACCACACCCAGCTAATTTTTGTATTTTTTTGTAGACGGGGTTCTGCCATGTTGCTTAGGCTGGCTTCAAACTCCTGAGCTCAAGCAGTCTACCTGCCTTGGCCTCCCCAAGTGCTGAGATTACAGCTGTGAACCACCATGCCCGGCCAAGTCCACCATTTTAAAATATATTATTGCTCCTTGATGAGGAAGGGGCATATTCATAGTGTTAGAGCCTAGCAAAAGTTGTGAGTTAGGATATGGTTTGAAAAGTAACTTAAAACCTATTATAGCCTATTTGTATTGTGTCTACATTATAAATTACATTTACTGCCTGGGCACAGTGGCTCACACCTGTCATCCATCCCTTTGGGAGATGAAGGCTGGAGGATTGCTTGAGGCCAAGAGTTCAGTAACAGTTTGGGCAACATATTAGATCCTGTCTCTGCCAAAAATAAAAAAAGTTAGCTGGCCATGGTGATGCACACCTGTAGTCCCAGCTAGTTTGGAGGCTGAGGCAGGAGAATCACTTGAGTGCGGGAAGTCCAGGCTGCAGATGAATTATGATCACATCACTGCACAACAGCCTAGCTGAAAGAGTGAGACTCTGTCTCAAAAAATAAGTAAATAAAATAAAATAAATTGCGTTTACTTCTTCTGAGGTAGTGATTGTCTTTCATTCACCTGTTTATCTTATCCTACAAATTTAAACTTTAATCCACCACCTGCAAAGAGTGATGGGCATTTATACAAAGCTTAGATCGATAGGGAAGAGGAAGGAAGTCTACCATCTGTTTTATTCTCAGTACAAATTCAGTGAATTCTTTAAAGAAAAAAGATTGCCTTTTTGAAATATCTTGCATTTGTTTCGGCTGTCACTTGAATGATCATATTCATGAGATCCCTGGGAACTCCATCCTGTATGTGTGTGACATACAGCTGAGGTATACTGCCAGGATTTAGTGAAGGTCTAACTAAACGTCGTTTCCTCAAACTGACAGGAAGATGTATTGAAGAATTATGTTTACTGTCTACTGTAAAAATCACTGTAGTCTCTAAAGTGAATAAGGAGACATAAGATCCAGATCCTGGGTTTGTTTTTGTTAGTAAAAACTTTAGAGTATCAGCTTCATCTCCCAAAGGGATGGATTACTTGTAGCCCTAACATCTTGGGAGGCGGGTGTAGGAGGATCACTTGCTCCCAGGAATTTGATGCCAGCCTGGACAACATAGTGAAAGCCCATCTCTGCAAAGAAATTTAAAACTTAGGCAGGCATGGTGGTGCATACCTGTAATTGCAGCACTTTGGGAGGCCAAGGCAAGAGGATTGCTTTAGCCCAGGAGTTTGAGATCAGCCAGGGTAACACAGGGAGACTCCATCTCTACAAAAAAAAAAAAATTAGCTGGGTGTGGTGGTGTTCGCCTGTAGTCCCAGTAACTAAGAAGGCTGAGGTGGGAGGATTGCTTTAGCCAGGGAAGTTGAGGCTACATTGAGCTCTGATCACAATACTGTACTACAGCCTGGGTGACAGAGTGATACCCACCTCAAAACAACAACAACAAAAACCTTAGGATATCAAGATTGACCTTTAAAGTCTACTTTCCACTGAGATTCTCACGTGGCCTTGTTACATATCCAAATTTTTTTTGTTGTTTTATTTTTGTTTCCAATTTTTTTTCTGTGGAAGAACCTTGGATGTTACTGTCACCTGAGAAAAAAATCTTATTGTGGAATCCTAGGTTCTGATAATTCTGTAAAAAATCTTATTGTGGAATTCTAGGTTCTAAATTACATTGATGTAAATTTCATGCTGTGTGATGGTTGAAGGATAGGAGTCATTACATCATGCTGAGAGAAACCCAATAATTGTAATTGCATACATCTGATTCTTATTTGAGCCACCTAAACATCCACTTGCCACTATGTTTATCAGTTTTCTTTCATATTATGTTTACTTGGGTAAACATAATATGAAAGAAAGATACATTAGTCTGTCTTTCTCTCTTCCTCTCTTTTCCCTCTGTTCTTTTTTTTTTTTTTTTTGAGATGGAGTCTCACTCTGTTGCCCAAGTTGGAGTGCAGTGGCATCTTCATGGCTCACTGTAACCCCCATCTCCTGGGTTTAAGCAGTTCTTCTGCCTCAGCCTCCTGAATAGCTGGGATTACAGGCATGCACCACCGTGCCTGGCTAATTTTTGTATTTTTAGTAGAGACAGGGTTTCGCCATGTTGGCCAGGATGGTCTCAAACTCCTGACATCAGGTGGTTCCTCCGCCTTGGCCTCCCAAAGTGCTAGGATTATAGACGTCAGCTACTGCACCTGGCCTTTCCCTCTGTTTGTGACTTGTTTTTGCCTTAAGTTACCTTTGTTTCTTCTCTACTTTTACAAGTGACTTTGTTCCCACCTAAAGATTTTTTTTTTTTTTTTTTTTTTTTTTTTTTTTTTTTTCTGTCAACGAAGTCTTGCTCTGTCACCCAGGCTGGAGTGCAATGGCGAGATCTCAGCTCACTGCAACCCATCTCCTAGTTTCAAGTGATTGTCCTGCCTCAGCGTCCCAAGTCCCTGGGATAACAGGCGCCCACCATCCTGCCCAGCTAATTTTTACATTTTTAGCAAAGATGGGGTTTTTGCCATGTTGGCCAAGCTAGTCTTGAACTCCTCAGGCCATCTTCTTGACCTCAGGCCATCCTCTCGCCTTGGCCTCCCAAAGTGCTGGGATTACAGGTGTGAGCCGATGTGCCTGGCCACCCACCCAAAGATTTCTAGTGGCAGTAATTTAGTAAAGCTTTAAGGCTTTTAAGCCTATGAGCTGCTGCTTTTTTTTTTGTTTGTTTGAGGTGGAGTCTTGCTCTGTTACCCAGGCTGAAGTGCAGTGGTGCTATCTTGGCCCACTGCAGCCTCTGCCTCCCAGATTCAAGTGATTCTCATGCCTCAGCCTCCTGGGTAGCTAGGATTATAGGCACCCGCCACCACACCCAGCTAACTTTTGTATTTTTAGTAGATTCAGGGTTTTACCATGTTAACTAGGCTGATCTCAAACTCTTGACCTCAAGTAATCTGCCCACCTCCACCTCCCAAATTGTTGTGGTTATAGGCATAAGCCACCATGACCAGCTGCCTACAAGCTTCTTATTGTTGAGGGTGGGTCTCAGTGCTGGACTAGCAGCAAAGCATCAGCGTCACCTGGGAACTTGTTAGAAATGCACATTCTTGGGCCCACCCGGAACATCCTGAATCATAAATTCTGGTGGTGGGGCTTAGTAATCTGTTTAACAAGACCCCCACAAGATTATGATATTGCCATTGGATGTTAAGTAGTTATGGGAAACAAGAGAACCATTGTAGATGGTGGTGAGGAATTGACTGGTTGTGTTTTTTGTTTTGAAAGGCCTGACTCCTCTATATGCTAGGTCAAGAACAGAACCAGTCCTGATCTTTTGCGAAGGTTAACACATACTTGTGAAGTTTCATGAATATTTTTTCCTGTCATTTGTATGCTTTCTGTATATGTCATATGGGCCTACTTAATCCCAGCTGTGTTGATTTCTGTGTATGCATTCTAAAAAACAATGTTTAGTTTTAAAGAAGCAGCTTTCTGGGGGGAAAAAAGGCATTTAAAAATAACGTACTTTTAGAAATATATCTATGTTTTCATTGTTGTGTAAAAAAAATTTGGTTTTTTTTTTTTTTTTTTTTTTTGAGAAAAGGGTCTTGCTCTATTGCCTAGGCTGGGGTGCATCGGCACAATCACGGTTTGATGCAGCTTCAAATTCTGGGCTCAAGTGATCCTTCCACTTCAGCTTTCCAAGTAGCTGGGACTACAGGGATGTGTCAGCATGCCCAGCTAATTTTTTCATTTTGAGTAGAGATGGGGGGATCTCTCTGTGTTACCCAGGCTGGTCTCAAACTCCTAAGCTCAAATGATCCTCTTACTTTGGCCTCCTAAAGTGCTGGGATTACAGGTGTGAGCCACCACATCTGGCTAAAAGTTTTCTTAAACATTGTTTGAGTTGGCTGGTAGAAGATTTATAGGAACAATGAAAGAAAACCATTTATTTGAAATCTTACTGTAATATGGGAAGAATATTATGTGAATTCAGCTATGAGTTTACTTGCAGTTTTTTCAGGTTCTGAATGAAGACTTAAAAGATCTTATCCATGTTTATTTATAAACTATACCAGTATTGAAACTGTGATTTAGTTCAGTTATTCTACAACCCAATAGATAAAATATCTTTGCAAATTTGTGCAAAAGACCAAAAAAGTACTGCCTAAGATAACACTAATGAATATATAAGATGATAAAATTAGTCTTTCAAGTATGTATGAATGATTGACCTAAGCTGCAATATAGCATAGTTTTTCTTCCCCCTGTAAAGAGTTGTTATTTTAAGGAAATAATTCTTGTATTTTAAGACAAATACACATTCTGACCAGATGGGAAACTATACAGTGTGTAACTCAGGTGTTCTTTTTCCTTCAGGGCAGGACCTATTCTTAGCTATAAGTCATAAACAGCTAGGCATGGTGGCTCATGTCTGTAATCCCAACACCTTGGGAGGCTGAGGTGGGAGGATTGCTTGAGGCCATGGATTTAAGACAAGCTTGGGCAACATAGTGAGGCCCCATGTCTTTAAAAAAAATTTAGACACTTAGCTGGGCATGGTAGTGTGTGCTTGTAGCTACTCAGGAGGCTGGGGTGAGAGAATAGCTTCAGCCCAGGATTTTGAGGCTGCAGTGAGCCATGATTGCATCATGGCATTCGAGCCTGGGTAGCAGAGGTGAGACCGCAAATAAATAAGCAACTCAACTCTTAAATAAACAAATAAGCAAGATTAACTCAGGTTTATTAATAGTGGCAGCAAAAGGAAAAGAAAAGAAGTCCCAAGTCCAAGACTGAAGTGATTCTAAATAAAATTGGGGCTGGCTTTGCCAAGGTTGTGTTAGCACTGACTTTGTGACTGTTGTTATCTTGTCAGATCCAAGTTGATGAAGTCAGAAAGCTGGTATATTTTGAAGGCACCAAAGACTCCCCTTTAGAACATCACCTGTATGTGGTCAGTTACGTAAATCCTGGAGAGGTGACAAGGCTGACTGACCGTGGCTATTCCCATTCTTGCTGCATCAGTCAGGTATTAAGTCTGTTTAAAAAGGGCTTTGTGTCATATTAAAACTCTCTGCTTATGTAATACTCCTTTTGAATGATGTGAAATTAACCTGCAGAAGCCTAATTCTCTAAGGAAAAGCTTTAAAAAGCTTAGCTTTAACTTCAACATTGTACATGTACATAAATAGTCTAACTCTTATAGTACTCTTGCTATAGCATTAGTGCAGACGTAACAGCAGATAACCTTTTCCACCTCCCTGAGGAAAAATATAATTGTTTCTCCTTTCTCTAGCATTGTGACTTCTTTATAAGTAAGTATAGTAACCAGAAGAATCCACACTGTGTGTCCCTTTACAAGCTGTCAAGTCCTGAAGATGACTCAACTGGCAAAACAAAGGAATTTTGGGCCACCATTCTGGATTCAGCAGGTATTCTTTTTTCTCTTGATCCTGACATTAAGTAGGATTAACATGATAGTATACTAAACTTGTGTCATATTTTCACATTTCCTGGACAAGTCTTCCCATCTCTTACCACTGCCTGTCCCTGAGCTGCTGGGCTCCTGATTGATCCCACTTTTCCTGTTCTATTAACGGTTACTTCTCGCTCCAAGCTGAAACAACAAGTCTGGAAGGCCTTTTTGAAATTAGGGCCAGTTGCAGTGGCTCATGCCTATAATCCCAACACTTTGGGAGACTGAGGCAGGTGGATTGATTAAAGTCAGGAGTTCGAGATCAGCCTGACCAGCATGGTAAAACCCCGTCTCTACTAAAACTACCAAAATTAGCCGGACGTAGTGCTGTATGACTGTTGTCCCGGCTACTCGAGAGACTGAATCACAAGAATCACTTGAACTCAGGAGTCAGAGGCTGCAGTAAGTTAAGATCACACCACTGAACTGCAGCCTGCGTTAACAGAGCAAGACCTTGTCTCAAAAAAAAAAAAAGAAAATAAGATTAAAATAGTAAAGTATCACCTAGGAAACAATTTGTTTACATATTTTGATGACTTCTCAGGTACACAAATGAACTTGAAGGTAATGTATTCTGAACTAGTAAGACTCTTTGAGCTGGGAAGCTGTGGCTTTGGAGAATAACCAACTGATATATTTATTTATTTGTTTGTTTGAGATGAAGTTTTGCTCTTCTTGCCCAGGCTGTAGTGCAGTGGGCCGATCTCGGCTCACTGCAACCTCTGCCTACCAGGTTCAAGCAGTTCTCCAGGCTCAGCCTCCCGAGTAGCTGGGATTATAGGTATGTGCCACCATACCTGGCTAATTTTGTATTTTCAGCAGAGACGGGGTTCCTCCATGTTGGTCAAGCTGGTCTCAAACTTTCAGTCTCAGGTGATCCGCCTGCCTCATCCTCCCAGAGTGCTGGGATTACAGGTATGAGCCACCACACCTGGCTAATTTTGTATTTTTAGTAGAGACGGGATTTCTCCACGTTGGTCAGGCTGGTCTTGAACTCCCGACCTCAGGTGATCCGCCTGCCTCATCCTCCCAAAGTGCTGGGATTACAGGCATGAGCCACTGCGCTCAGCTTTTTTTTTTTTTTT